TTCCTAATGGAAAGGAACTTGATAAATTCCTTTAATCTTTTGAGTACCGTCTTTTCCCCTGAAAACGTTACCAGAGTTTTGCAGCTTAGGTCGCTGATGGGGCTGTCATCTTTTAAGGTGTACGCTCCAACTGCCGGTGTATTATTATCTCACAGGGAGAGCTGCCCTTCTTCTCAATTCCCCACTGACGTTGCTCATTTCTCGCCATCGTGACTGTTGAGAACTTACCCCAAAAGAGTTACAGCTGCTCCTAACATGGAGTAGCGACGTTGCTATTTCCCGTTATCTTGGGTCAGGACTCTTAGCTGCACTAACTCCCACAGGCAGGAGGACTCTTAGTTCTGCTGGGAAAGGACGGTACCATCTGAACTGTGGCTGTCTCCAAAAAGCGCCCACACTGTTTAAACTCTCAATGAAACTGGAATTGTCTCGGGAATAATTTCAAAACATTCAAATAAGTGCTTTCTAGATTTTATAATTCACGCATTATTAGCCAATTAGCCAAGTAAAGTAAAGCTATCCCTGTAACAGGCAATGGAGGCCCGTAGGGTTGTGAGACGTCGAGGCTCTCACGTTTTCTCTAGGAAATCGGCTCACAGATGGCGGTGAAGTTTTCAGCCTTACGCGCCACCCGTCCTTTACCCCCAGGAAGATTCCTGGGACTCATTTCTGTTAGAGGCTGGGTCGACTCCAGGGCCATAGTGCGGCTGGAATGATTTGGTAAATTGAAGAAAAAAAAATCACCTCATCGGGATTCGATCCCGCGACCTTCCGGCTTGTAGCATAATGCCTCTACCAACTACGCCACCGCGTGCCCCCGGCTAATTATGAGACTGAATTAAATTAATAATGATGTTAATGATACTGGCTTACTGAACCACTCCGCTACCACACATGCAAGAATGACGCGTTTTATCTGAAAGCTGGAATGAAACTGAAAGGAGTTGTATGCCGTTAGAACTACGTATTTATCTGCATGAGCGTAATCGAATGCGGACAGTTTGTTTATAATTGCATCAGTCGCGAAAATGAACGTACTGAGTGAGTGCCCCTGGCGGCGAGAGATCTGTTGTCTGCGAGAAATAATCACTAGCAACAAGAGATGAAAACCGTATCGAGAGAAAGCTAATTCGAAAAATCCCTTGCATCAAACTAAAATACACACGAAAAAGAAGCAGCAGAGGCGAAGAAATTCGGAATGGACGAACAGTTTTTTTTTTTTACATCCTTTTCGAATGTGTTGAGCCACTTAATAAATTTACGAACACTGGTAGAGAGCAGTAAGCTAAATTTATCCCTTTAACAGATCGTGGAGGTCCATAGGGTTGTGAGACGTCGAGGTTCTCATATTTTCTAGATAATCGGCTCATAGATGGCGATGAGACTGTCAACCTTACGCTCCGGCCGCCCTTTACCCAATGAAGATTCCTGGTACTCATTTCTATTAGAGGTTGATTCGACCCTGTGGTCATAGTGAGGCTGGAAGGATTAGGTCAATTGAAAAACCAATGACTTCATCGGGAATGGAACCCACGCCCTTTCAGCTTGTAGCGTAGTGCCTCAACCAACTACGTTACCGGGTAGCCCACAGAGCAATAAGTCACTAATCAGCTCAACATAATCTTACCATACAGGTCAGGGATCTTCTTCGGTAATGGTATGACCTGGATTTTCGATATATAAGTCAGCTTAAACTTATATTTGATTAGATTATGGATGGCGCCATATATTTTTTCTGTCTGTGAAGCGCGACAAATCAACAACACCTCCCGTTTTCCTGTCTTACGAATGTTCGGAATTACTAGGTTTTTGGACTTTGTATCTCAAAGGAATCCGCGTTTCGGAAACTGGGTGTTTCCATCCTCATGCGAACCGATGAAATGTAATCGTATCTACCCACTGTCAACTCCGTTAGAAAGAGCTACCCTTCTTTCTAGTGGACCCAACAGAGTAGCTGCCTTCACCGTTTCACCTGAGGACAGAAAGAGATTCAGTTTCCAAAACGTTGTACTCTTTGGAATATCTGATGATAGACAAAGCCCCGAAACTCGATGCTACTGAGTTGTATGTACATCATCGTCAGAACCCTTTAAAATTAACTCCTCTGAATCTTATTTATAAACAGTCGGTGTGTCCCCTAGGATGGGGGATCGGTCTGTCGGAAGGTTCATCCTGCACCAGACAACTCAGACACGGAAAAGACGCATGCTGAATCCATTTGCAGAGTGGCGTAAGACAATACAAGACTTAGACCGAGCGGTCACTGTAACCGGCGGAATTATGCTTACGTAAAGATAATGCTATCTCGATATTAAAGGACTATCACTCCGGCATTTACAGTAATCTGGATAATAAAACGATTATGTTATTGTTAGGTCTGTATTATGTGAAGAAAACATCGTGAGGCAATGGTGATAAATTCTGCTTCGTGCACACTACAAAGGGGTTCCTCTTGAACTCGAGGCCGACAACCGCCAATGAAAATTTGTCTTCTCGTCCTCCTCTTAAAATAGGTCACCATTAAAAACAAAAACAAACTCCGTGGCTTGAGTCCGCAAGAAAACTATACCGATCGAGTTACCGCCGCTTGTCGGCGAAGTTGGTGTCAACTTTAGCGGATAGAGGATGTCGCGTGGTCAGCGCAACGAATCCCCGCGGCCGTTATTTTCGGTTTTCTAGACCGGAGCCGCTATTTCCTTGAAATAGCGCCTCAATTATCCTCACGAGGCTGCGTGGATCCCGTTCCAGACCCACTACTTCTCAGAAATTCTGGTAGCGCCGGGAATCGAATCCGGAACCTCTGGATCTCTAGCCAGGAACCCTGGCCACTAGACCACAGAGGCGGTCACTATTACCTTAAACAATCGTGTCTAATGGTTAAATAAGCAATAGAAGTCAATCAAATGTAACTAGTTCAATAGGAATAAGTTAACGGTTTGTCTTTTCATGTTTCAGTCATCGTTGTCCAACACCAGAAGATATGACCAACACTATCAAACCGCGCCATAGCTCAAGTGGTTAGTCGCTGGCTTCCCACCGCGGCGGCCCGGGTTCGATCCCGGGTCTGGTCAAGTGGGATTTGTGGTGGACAAAGTGGCGCTGGGGCAAACTGCTTTACATATGTTGCCGTGTGAACGTCTGATCTCTTATATGTGTAACTCTTCTACTACTACCACTACTACCACTACTACTACTACTTACTACTATTACTACTACTACNGATGAAAATAATAATAAAGTAAACCCTTGTCAAATGGGGATAAATTCATATGTTCAAAAAAATACGAATAATTATTTGATGGGTGCGGAAAATTTGAATAAACGCGGTATGTCTCCAGACACTACCCTACAAGTCTGCAATTAATATATCCTAATGTCGAGGTAATTGTATTGATCTGCTAACATCACATCGGTCCTGTGACTTACAGACCAATGAGTTACCAGCACACTGAAGTCTTGTTGCACTCGAGAAGTCTATAGGCGTGAAATACAAACTGTCAACTCTGGTGCTTTTGATAACTCAAAGCCTTTAGGTAGGGCAATTTATTTTTGTGTGTGCGAGTGCGTGTGCTTAAGATACCTGTGTATCTAGGTACTAGGTAGACTAAGGCTACTGTAGCCTGCCTTATTTTGCCGTCCGTGTGCGGATGTAGAATTGACGGACATGAGTCGAAGTAACGCGGTGCCACGTTGTTAAACTTTCCACGGCCGTGGCGCAGTCATTTTGTTTCCTATAAGTAAACACACTTCACCCAGATATAACTGAATTTCGTAGATATAAGTAATTTATCTGTATTTAGGTCGACAAATGTGGAAGATAATGGGCAGCTCTCTTAACAGTACCTTTCATATACTTCATGCAAAACTAAAATGGGCATTAGAAAATTTTCCAGTTTCTACTGAATATCCATCAGTTAGCTTAACAGCACTTCGTTGTCTAAAAAAAGTATCGTTAGAAAAAGAAACTGGCCGAACGGTCGACAGATTTGAAAATCGGAAATGATGTTGTACGCATTGTGCAGGTTGTCATCACACTGCTCCGAGGAGAAGAGGATCTACAATTAAAATGGAAAACGACGCGTTTGATGGCGGAAAGCCTTCAGAGCTCAGCCCCGACAAAAGAACATCGTCTGGCCATACGCGTTGGTCTCTAAATTTCACTCTCCCGGTCTTTTTCACGTCTTCACTGCGTCTTCAGCAGTTCAAGACTGACTGTATGTGGCAGCATTCCCGTATCCCCAGTTTAACCCATAAGGCTCTACCTTTGTCCAATGCCCCCTCTTCCCAGCATCTAACTGAACGCACGAGGAAAAGCAACGAAAATCATAAGCGAAAGTAAAGCGGCCTTCGGACTGAAAATAGAACACAGGACTTCCCGAAAGCTAAGTAATAATCCTTCAACCGCGACGTTAAAATCCGTTATAATATTATTCCCCTATCTGTGTTATGGTCTAGCAAATGGCCTCTTCCAATGAATCCTTCGAGCCAAAATTGTGCATGCATTTTGTTTGCCCCATCAATCGTACACTTCCCAGCCACTTCATATTATTTGCTTAAGCATCATGTATACTGTATGAAGAGCTCACATTTATTAGCTGAAAACATAATTTGTGTGCTGTGTTTTGTTTGAACGTGTTTATGTGTGTTATTTGTCTGTTGTCTTATTGTAGTACCACTGCCACCGGGTGAAAACCAATTTGCAGTTATTTTTTTTTTATTGCTAGTGGGGTGGGACTAAGTCCCTTCTACTGCGGCCACTTCTGGCCTATTGTTTCTGCCCCAGATGATAGGTGAGGGC